TTACACTTAGGTAAGATTTGTTCATTTGGGCTGATTACTATGGTTTGCTCATGAAAATGGTACTGTCACTACTATCTTGCTATTAATGGCATTTGCTTCTGCATATGAGTGATTAGTGCATACAGTTCCATTTTTTAAATTAGACTAATGTCACAAACTATCTATAGTTATTAATATCTTTACCATATTTACTCAGAAGTAAGGTCTATTTAGTTCAGTGGGGCTTACTCCCAAGTAAACAGATTGCAGCCTTATTTATGACATTTTTGCATCTCTCTTTATTTTTTAGATTAGTGGCCACTTCAGCTCCATCAAAAGTATTCTAGACAGTGGTGTTTGGCACAGCTGCCATTTATCTTGGCATTTTGTTATTGATCCTGGATATGAACTTTGATAGTTTATAATAAGTTCAATCTGATCGCTCTGAAGTTTTGATTGCATAGGGGGGGAAATCAACCTGGAATATATACAAGGAAATAGTCTGAGTGAAAAATTGTATTTGTCTGATAAATGACAATGATCAATTTCAATGGTCATTGAAAAACAGAATCATACACAATCTGAAAAAAATCAATCTGATGCACTGACTATGAGTAAATCATGTACATACACACCTCCCGGCCAGAATCAAGGAACCTCATATGCACTTTATATTGACCCACTTCTTATGGAGATTCAATCACAAAAGTGAATATTAAGCAGCAGTATTTGTGAGAAATTTGAGTGAATGATAAGTACCATATGCTAGCTTGAACTGGGATCATCTTAGATTGGAATATTGGAATTTATGGGATTTGTTGACATAAATATGTTATTGTGAGCCTGTCATAGGTGTGTACATATTTGCAAACGCCTTTAAATCAGCTATCCCTCAGAAACAAAGAATCAAAGGAGAACAGTATCCAGATGAAACAAAACAAATATGATAGCAAGTAAGAGTGGTGGATAGAATACGCTAGTTGTGTTCAGATTATCACATCTCACCCTTATATGAATGAGCCTTCTACACATGCAAGCAGCTGCTTTGCTCTTCTCTTTGCATGCGCAGGGAAGCAAGCTAAGAAGGTTCAATTAACCATAGTTTCCTGTTACCTCCCAAACCAGAAAACTATGATTAATGGCTAATCAACAAGCAGGATGTTAAATCTACTTTAAAGCATGTCTTGATAGTTAACAGCTTCCAAACAAGCCAAAATATCGTTTCCTGTTTAGGATGCAACAGGAACCTGTGGTTAACTGAAACTTTGTGCCTTGTTTCCCTGCTTGCTTCAAGGGAGGAGTGAAACGGTTGTGTGGGCTACATGAAATGTAAATTCATCTTCTACTTTTAAGCAGAGGTGCTGTGATTTGAATGTGGCCACTGAATCAATGAAAGACCTATTCACAAAGCATCTAGAAAATAATAAACATGTTCAAATATGGCATAGAATAGTGACACCATGATTAGGGCTGCCATTTGGCCTAGTTATGACTGATTTCTTCCATATCGGCATAGCAAAGTGCAAGTTTCTGTTTATAGGCATCCTTGCCTTGTCCTTTAAAGTGTCTGATAATACCAGTGTTAAACTGGACTTAAACCATTATTGGACTAAGAATCTACATCTCATTCAATGTGATCATTCCTCCAGCAGCATTTTACAACCCAGGTTCAACATATTGGCAAGAAAGCACACTAACCATCAAACCCAGGGGTTGTTTATTTGATGGGATTTTAATTATTCCAGCCTCACTAAAGCTCCCCTGTGCTTCAGCTCAAAGAGTGCTGACTCAGTACAGGCAAAGTGCTTTGATATTATTTGCAGCTGAGGAAATAGCTACAACTTTCCGGATTATTCATTGTGCATTGCTTTTGATGAATAAAAAATACTTATTGGAGTGGCAAAAAGTGTAGCAGGACTTTCTGTTGCACTTTAAAAGTCTTATATCTCCACAGAATCACAGTTTAACTTACTGGTATATTTTAAACTAATATTTAGCTGTATTTAAGGCTGTGATCTGGTGACTGCTGTGTAGCCATGATAAAATGGAGGCTGAGATGAAGCTGGATAGTTAGAAAGAATGAGAAAAGAGAGCATTGACTGCGCACTTAATATGTTTCTCACACATTACTTAGCAGCAAGCCTGCTAGTGTACATTTGATAGGGAGCCACGGTGAATCCTGAATACTTGATGTATGTTCCTGTATGATATATGTGTTTGCATTTCATTCACACTAAACATTTTTAGGCAAACACCTAAAAAAACTAATGGGTGAATCAGCCTTCAAACTGGAAGAGGGGCTAAAGTGGAAATAGAACATCTCCAAGGAGGTCTTTGAACTGTGGCAGGTTGATGCTTTTAAGAAAGAGCATTTCTGAACTAGCACTTTGTTTGCCCTCCCTGGCATATCGACAATGTGTAGTTTATGGGTTGCTGAACAGGTTAACGCTGCAGGGATGCAACCATTTCCAGCTTTATGATATGGGTACATTTATGATGACACATGTCGCGAGAAACATGCACTTGCCTAACACATGCAAAGGTGTGTGTGTATTCGTATGTGTATTCTGTACAATTTGTGTGTCTGTTTGCTAGGATCCTGAGATCAAGGAGCAGGTTTTGTCTACGTTTGGATACAACTGGACACAATTTTGAATCAAGATGGGGGACTGAACTTTTAAAAACTACACAGATTTTAACCAAAATTTGCATGATTGTTCTTAAGAAGGAGCAGGTTTGCATTTATGTTTGGACACAATTGGTTGCCATTTTGCACCAAGACGGTGGACTGCAGCTTTCAAAACTGCATTGATTTTAATTGCTGGTTGCAAAACTGCACTGATTTTTTTAAAAAATAGTTTCTTTGAATTCCCAAGCCATGCCAGGTATGAGACTGATAGCAAATATATCAAACTGGGCTAATGTAAGTCCTGCTTACTGATGGTATCTGTTTCAGTACACAACCCAGCAAGCTCAGAAATTTTTGAATTTCAAATCCGGGTTCGCGTCCCCGCTTCTCCACATGCAGCTGCTGAGTGACCTTGGGCTAGTCACACTTCTCTGAAGTCTCTCAGCCCCACTCACCTCACAGAGTGTTTGCTGTGGGGGAGGAAGGGAAAGGAGATTGTTAGCTGCTTTGAGATTCCTTATGGTAGTGATAAAGCGGGATATCAAATCCAAACTCCTCCACTTCTTCTTCACTTAGTTTTTTATTTAAACAATACAGTATACTCAACTCATCCAATAAGATCATGTATTTTTTTTATGAACAAGACAATTTAAGATAGGTTTTATATATTGAAGACTAGTTTTTATTTAAGAAATAAAACCCAAGCTGGGAGCATTCATGGAAGCAAGATTTCCCTTTGACGGCCATTGTTCAGCTTGATACATATGAATGTATTGATTTCCTATGAAGAGCAAGCCTGGATTCATTGCACAATATCAACTTAATGCTGCTGAGCCATTCTGTTTCTTTGCCACACACAGCTTCAGCAGCTGAAAAAGGCTGGTAGAAGAATCTTCATTTCTTTTATCTTTTCTTGCAGCTTCTGCCTGACAGTTCAGATCATTTTGCAGCATATTGTCATCTTAATGACTTGATGCATTTGGTGTGAATAGAGAGAGATACATTTTGTAAGTTATAACCACAGGATAATTTATTCATTCTGAGTAGACATTGCATTTGATAACTGATAAATTTCTTACACAGGGAGTGGAGCCGAAATGCACTCTCTGTGTGTGGAAGGGCTGATCATCATACTAGACTTGTAGATTGAGGAGAGAGTCACATACCATAGGTTATAAATTATATAGAACACATCCACAAGCTTCTATCTAGGGGGAAGAACAGAGTCCTTGTAGGCCTGTAGTCAGAATTTCCACGGCTGTGGCGTTTATCATGGGAGGATGATAAATTAGTGCAAAACAGCCTAAATCCGAATGCAACAGTGTAGAATATTTAATTCTATTGCTTGCTATCAAAATGTAATTGTATAAAAAATTATAAATAAGACCCTATTGCTTGTTGGTCATACCTGTGGCTTGCATTCATTGGCCAGAATATTGGATGTAGGAACCAGGTTGGTTTCTTACAGAGAACTTGAGTAGAATACCATCCACATCATGCTTTTTCTTATACGTCCCTGAATAAAAGATACTGGAGATATTTTTTTTAAAAAATGAAAGCTAAACATGGGGAGGGGGGACTAGAATGTCATAGAAGCCTGCTCCACAAGACTCTCCATGGCTACAGCAGCAGCAGCAGCAACAACATCATTTGTACTCTGCCCATCTGACTGGGTTCCTTAGCCACTCTGGGTAGCTTCCAACAAATACAAACACATAATAAAACATTAAACATTAAAAACTTCCCTATACAGGGCTGCCTTCAGTTGTCCTCTAAAAGCTGTGTAGTTACTTATCTCGCTTTTAAAAACTCTGCATTCTATTTTGAGTTCTCCCCCTAAAAATTAATTTATGATTAATATCACTGTAGAAGAGTCATAAATTACCAAGGAAGCAATAACCCAGGATATTTTAATTCTAGCACTGCATTTTGATTAACTCTTTATAATATAATTTTAATATAGTGCTTTCCAGTCTTCAGTTAGCTCACTCTCCAAACAAAGCAAGTTGTTGTTTTCATTTCATATGGGCAACTTCCAGGCAGATGTTTATTGTGGAATCAGTGGTATTCACCCATGAAACGTTTTTGGAGCATCCACAAAATATTGTTATCATCTAAATGCCAGCCCTTACCCCACCTTGCCACCATTTAATATATATTGACCATTTTCAGGTGAAATCTGATAAGTTAAAAAAACAACAACTTTTGCCAATGACCTGTTACGATATTAAGCTGCTGTCTGGAAGAAAACAAGGTTACCCCCCAAGCTCAAGATTTGAACCTAGATTTGCCAAATCTAAATCTACATTGGCTATCTCCTGCAAACAGATTTTGTTAAAACAAAAGCAACAAACATCTCTCAGGACCAAACATATAAATAGAGGAATGTGCAGTTTTCACAGGCCAGCTTTTGTAGATAGGCTACAGGGTCAATATTCTACGAATCCATCTGGGAACTCATTAAGGGGGAAAAGAAAAGGAAAAGTTGTCTTTCTTGAAACAGCCTAAGTTTGCTCTGAAAGGGCCTGCTGTGTAATACACAAAAGAGGATAAATTGGTTGCTGATTTATTCCTTCTGAGTTCCCTAGTACTGAATCCACTATGTAGATTAAATGTGTACAATACGGTATGTCTGTCCCATGAAGCCAGCCATTTGGTGGATCCTTGTAGGTGACTGACAACACCCACAACTTTTCCAGTCCTAGTCAGGCAGCAAAAAATAGGGGATGCTTTATTTTGTTTTAGTTCTTGGGAAATTATGCTAGGAAGCTATGTTCTGCTTTGTGGGTCACAAATTGTGTGTGTTTCCAATGGGTGATTAGAGTTGGGTATAGATTGCTGAGAGTTATGACTGTCATCATTACCAATCTCATAGTGGTCAAGGATGATAGGATTTATAGTCCAGCAACATTTGAAGGGCAACAGATTCCTCCTCCTTGGCTTACAGCTTAAGTTCGGATAATTGCAATGACAGCTCTTTCGGCTTAGTTTCAGGGGCCACAGAATCCTTAATTTGTATCCATTGCACTAATTACTTCTACTTCACGTGTATAAGGTAGATGGCAAAACTAAACAAGCTGTTGCTGAAATTTGTGCTGAGCGCAGTTGGACTCTACATTGATAACTAATGTGAAATGTGTAGGTTTGTAGTTATTATAACAGTAAAATTCGTGGGTGCACCTGTTTTTGGCGATAGTATTGTTTAAAAGGAAGGGACAAAACCAGATCTGTTCCTTGAAGAAAAGCAGTGCTCCAGTAATCAGATCTTGCCTGTACATAATTTGATTTCTTTCTGACTCTGAGGAAAAATCTGAAAACAGCAGCTGGATCAATTTCTGCACTTGGAAGCTAATTTTGAAAGTTCAGTATTTCTGAAAATGAAATCTAGTTGGAGCAACTTTCTAAAAGTGTTGTGACATAAAAGAGACTAATGTTAGTAGTGTCAATAAACTTGAGAGGCTTCTTTGAATGTACAATATCCAAGGTTTATAATGAAAAACACTGTAAAAATAATAATAATCTCCAATGGATTTTCAAGTGCTGGATGGTCAGGCCCTAGGTGTGATTGTAATCATAATCATAATCCAGATGATATTATAACTGGGATCCAGTAGGATATTGATCTTCTGCCTCCCTTGGGATAATGGGAAATACTTTAACTCTTGTGCTGTGAAGCTTTGTAGGAGAGCATTAGTTTCACTGATTTGGACTCTTAAGGGTCACACTAGACACAATGCCATTCTGCACAGTTTTCAAACGGCTTTTAAAAAGGCAGATGACAAGCATAAGGGCCCTGTTCCAGTTTCGGACCCCGGTATGGGTGGGGTGCTTTAACTCTTTCCCTCCTCCCGCTCTATTCTCAATTTGTCTCAGTCTCCCTGTGCGTCAAGCCATTGAGGCAATTGCTAATTTAAGCTGGCGTTTAAGTAGAAGCTGGCCATTGATCAGGGCTGGAGGCTTCCTGCATTAGCAGGGCCTTTGACTAATGACCTTTTGAGGTCCCTTCCAACTCTGTGATTCTGAGGTGGAGTACTGTCCTCATAATAGGTCTTTCAAAGAGCTTTTCGGAAGGCTTTTGGGGTGAAAGGGGAGAGATTGAAGAACACCGTTAGAGATTTCCTGGATCAGACTGAGATTTCACTCAGTCTGGTGGTTCTCAATTTTTTTACTCTGGGCCACACTTTCAGAATAAAAATTTGCTTGCACCACACCAAATTTTTTATGGATAAGAAATATATTGGAAAACAAAAAGTGCTGGATTTATAACATAGAACCCAAATACTTTATAATATGATCACAAGTCATCCAGGAAGTACAAAACAATGCAGCTACATAGGAAGATGAACCATTCCCAGAATAAAATTTAAACGAACCTCTTACATAGGTACATTCAGTATGTATACAAATGCAATGAAAGGTGTGACCTTGCAGTATCACATGATGTTCTTGCTCTCCTTTTGAAAAGTTATCTATCCATATTCTACAAATAAAAAACACCATTATTTTGATACTGTACTATATTCCACTGAAAGGTTTATATGTTTCTTTGATTGTCCTTGAATCTTGGCCATGATCTCCTGCCACACCTTTTGAGGACCATTGCCTTAATCTTTTTCTCCCAGTGGCAAGTTGGATGTCCTTAGGAAGCCCACAGTGAGGGCTTAAAGGCTTGGGTTGACTTGCCCAAAGGCACTGAATACATTTGAAAGCTGAATAAAGATCCATACCCAAGGGAAAAGGCAAAAAATTATCCACCATGTTTTATTGGTTCAGTTGTTAGAAGATATTTTTCATGCTGTCAAGGTGACATTCTCAAATAATTACATTGCCAGTTAAAGCAATATTGCACTAATAGAAGATTATTCTTGTGCTCTTTAAACTTTTCTAAGACTAAATTCTTTCTTTCTTTCTTTCTTTCTTTCTTTCTTCTTTCATTACATTATTCATCTGAAATATTGCTGTTCAATATCAAAGCAAGCCTTAATTTCAACGTCTGCTGAACAATGTTGCCATCTTGATTAGCACATCATATATTTGGTTTTAGGACTTTACAAGCAAATAGGGAGCCCATACTAATGAACTAAGTATTAGGGAGTACTGAATGTGTTATGAAATGGGGAGGTGCTGTTGTAATGGATAGTTAGTGAGGTTTTTGAAAGGCGCCTCTTGCTTTCAGGTAGTCCTTTGGGTTTACTGACTAATGCTTCTTTAAAAGGTGCCAGCTGACATGTGGCAACTCCCACAATATTTCTTTGCCCCTTGGGAAACAGGCTAAGTGCTGATAACTTATCAGCAATATTTTTTTAAAATGTGACGTTGCAATAACTTCTCATTCCATCTAAAAAAAAGATCTCTCTGGCAAAGAAATAGGCGCTACTTGCTTCCTCAATGTCAGTAAGATTTATGATATAAAATAAGAACTGCCAACTTGGGGGGGGTGTGTGTGTGTGTGTGTGTGTGTGTTACAGTTGCTGGGAAAGGCTCCATTATTAGCTGGAAATATTATTTTTTAACCAAAACCCACCCCAAACCCCTATCCTAAAGAAGTCCAGTTCTTCAATTTCAAGATGTGGGAAAATTAAGTATGCCAAGCTCTTTCTGGTGTGAATAAAGAATTATAGAGAAGTTAATAAGTGTTGGCAATATTATGTAGGGCCAAATTTCATTTCATTTATTTTTAGTCAACTTATAGACCACTTACAATCTTCTCTATCTATATATACTATCTATCTATAAATAAATAAATATATGAATATAGGCACCCACACTTGCGCATCACTGCGTATACATGCGTCACTGGGAAATAAATAATTACATCTGTTCAAACCTGGATATGCTGGGAGAGAGGTGGAAAGTCCTAGTGGCTCGTGAGCCACACACATCCCCCTCTGTTGAGCCCAAAGAGGATGTCAGTCTGGAAATATAAGGTTTAAAGAGCTTGAAAAAGGAACTTATGGGCTCTAAAATGGCACCTGAGAGCTCTCTGCTGCTGCGCTACCTTGCTCAACAGCTGTATTGCAGAGGGCTCAATTGCGCTGTTCCCTGCCCTTTCTGGTGATCTGGAGGCAAAGGTACAGTATAAAGGGGGGGGACTGTATTTTAGATGCCCTTTTGCCCTAGTTCTCCATTCTGAAGAGGCTCCCCACTTGCACAAATTTTGCTTATGCACACTGGGGCCCTGAACGTAACCCCCACATAAGTGGAGAGTCACCTGTATATAAAATCTTGAAGCAGTTTGCATCAAAAGATTCTAAAAGAGAGGGAAATTCTCTAAACATACAACAAAAAACTACAGGTATGCAGATGCTATAAATAACATGCAGATAAAATAATAAAAAATTAAAATAAAATAACATACTCTGAACATAGAATACTAAAAAATATTGAGTAAATAATTGGCAGCCTTTTGCTGCGACTTGTAGGTGACCAATAGAAACTGAACCTGAAAATCCATCCACTTATGTCATTGGTTACTGTTACAGGTTAGTAGGGAAACAGGGATCCTCTAGATACCTGGGCGCCAGATCTTCCCCTCCAGATTCTTGGATGCTGGGGCTTAATCAGAGCTGATGGGCTGAGCTTGCTTAGAGGGGCAGGTGGAGAGATGATGATCCATCTACAAGACAAAAGACCCTACAGGTAACCAAGGGGGAGGTTGCCAGGGCAATGTTGGTGTGGTGTCGCACATGAAAATGGTCACTTTTCAAAACTAGGGTGGTGGGAGAAGGGGAGGAGTTGCTTGGCAAAAGGTTTTCTGGGAAGGAGAAGCAGGAAATAGGTTGAACTCCATGCGGTGGCTGGAGGTCAGAACCATTATGGCAGGTTGGGACAGAAGCACAGAGAAGTTCAGAATGCTTTGGAAATCTAGTTCTGCACTACTCAAACCTCTCTTGAGTTGCAAATGCTGTAAATTCTGGTCTCCCTCCATTGAAAACCTCTGGTGTAAATATGTGTAAAATTAACCATATTTCTTAAAACATGGCCCTGGGTAAGCACCTGGAATCCCCTGTAATCTTGCTGTAGATATCATTAGGGCTTTGAGGGTCTTGTGATGTGCCATGCTGTCCAGTCCCAATTATGTTTATTGGGATGGAAATCACATTGAGGTTTAATAGGACTTACTTTCATGTGTGTTTGGGTAGGCTTGCTGTTTAAATTGATTTTGTATGTTGACAAGGAAACCTTGATAGCTACTTCTTCTTATGAATGTAAATCTTCAGGCATTCACAAGATTATTTACGTACTGTGGAATAATATCAGCTACAATAAAAATAAGGGGAAACAGCATTTCTCCTCTGCCCCCTTTCTTTTTGTCAGAGGATAGCATGGTGACCCGAGTTCAAATTCCGTGCTGAAGGGGGCAAGCTCTCACTTTGTGTCTACGCTGCTAAATAAATTATCTTAGCAATTTATGTAGAGGTTACATTTCCAAGGGACCTTCTGGAAATGTACAGCTGTTATTTTTTTAAATGGGGAAGTGAAACTGGCCAAATTGTAAAGGATTATATTTATTCTTTTGCCTGCAAAGAGCAGGCGAGAGAGTAGAATAAATATAACAAAGATATCCTGCTGTATTCTCTCTCCGCCATTGGTGTGTTTCTCTCTTGACCTACTTGCTGCATAAGAAAGGTTTGTAAATATTTAAATACTTCTCTTAAGTATTTCTCCTGCATGAATTATGTGTATGAAACTAAAGCAGAACTGCAGCTGCCAATTAGAATGCGGTGGAGCTGTAGTTGCTGATGTGCCGATGTAATGATTTCTCCCCACCCCCCCCACCCCCCGCTCCCAGCTACAGCCATGCAGCTCTAGTTCTGAATATCAGAATCAACTCTGTGGTTATTGCCAGATTTGGTTCAGTGAATTTTTGAACGTTGCTAAATGCAAATTTTGCTCTCTTCTTCGTTTATTAATGGCTTATTAACTTCCTGTTTTTACCATCTAAGAAAACGTCAAAATGTCCACACAGGCAACTGCCATTCAGGTTCAGAACTGACTTCTGGATAGGTCAGCAAATTACTACGAGTCAAAAGTCGTAATTCATTCATTCCTCCAATCACTTATAGCCCACCTTTCAACCTGATAGGCCCACCAGGCATCGTACAACAATAAAACTGCAAAACATGTACAAACAGGGCTTTTTTTCAGCTGGAACTCACCAGAACTCAGTTCCGGCACTCTCAGGTGGGTGCCATTGCCATTCTAAGAGAACGAGGGAGGTGTTCATGGTGAGTTCTGGCACCTCTTTTTCTAGGAAAATATCACTGTGTACAATTCCTATAACTTTATAAACTGCTACAACCTGTCTGCCTTGTTTCAAATCCACAAATTAAAAACAAAAGGGGGGAGAAAGTACATGAAGCAGAAGGAGTAACTGGGACAGAGCATCCCACTTCCACCCTCCTACTTCCGATCTATGTACTTTTCAAGGGAGAAAAAAGAGAACAGCCCTTACCACCTCATGAGATGGACAGTGAATGGGACTAGCTCTGAGGCTTCATGGGTACCAGGGTAGGACCTCAAGGGTGCTTTGGCACCCATAACCATCATATTGATGACACTTGGGATAAGGGAGTATTGTCAACAGGAAAATGTATTTTAAAAATGTGGAGATTGTACCATACTTCCAGAGCTAAACTGTGTACTATATGTTATTCAATACTGTTAAGTTGTGGGTGAACATATCAGACGACACAGCAATTCTTCAAACAGCTCTTGTTTATTCACAGGCCAGAACAGAACTGACTGAAGGGTTCAGCCAACCTGCTTATATAGAGCTCTACCACAAAGCAGAAGTAACAACTTTCTGTAACTATCCAATCACAGAACGTCACTTTCAATTCCTTATTTGCATATGCGGACCTGAGTGAAAACTATCTACAGTATCCCCCTGCTGGCCCAGGGTGAGAACTTCAGTACATAACAAATACAGTGGTACCTCTGGTTACAAACTTAATTCGCTCTGAAGGTCCATTCTTAACCTGAAACCATTCTTAACCTGAGGTACCACTTTAGCTAATGGGGCCTCCTGCTGCCGCCATGCCGCCGCCGTGCCATTTCTGTTCTCATCCTGAGGTAAAGTTCTTAACCCGAAGTACTACTTCCAGGTTAGCGGAGTCTGTAACCTGAAGTGTTTGTAACCCGAGGTATTCGTAACCTGAGGTACCACTGTACTACTTAATATATTAGGACCTCTTAAGGGTATGACAGTGTTGGCTCCTTTGTTTCTAATGGGTTTTGAGTAACCTGAAGGGAGAAGAAAATGTTGACATTGTACCTGGCTTGTTTTGCACCCTGGAAGTTTAAGCTTTATGATGTCAGTTTAGTAACAACAAATATGACACCTTCTGAGTGTTCAAAGTGCTTTGTATAGTTACCTTATTATTAACCCCATACTGTGGAGAGGAAAGAGTGAGGTTGGGAGATGGCAGTTTGCCTTAGGCAACCTGCCGAGTGAATACCTGAGATAAAATTTGAACCACACATACTCCAATTCATATGTACAGAAGATCGGTCTCATGTAGTCCAGGAAGCACTGTTAGGAATCTTTCTGACCAGTTTGTATCTGCTGGAGATGCAGTATCTGTAAAAAAATAAAAATAAAATAAACCATAGGGAGACAAATAAACATGAAGTTTATGCAGTACTTGTGCAGTACTTATTTTCTGATCAGTTCTAAATTGAGAGCAAGTATGGTGCAATAGAGTGGGACGCGGGTGGCGCTGTGGGTTAAACCACAGAGCCTAGGACTTGCCGATCAGAAGGTTGGCGGTTCGAATCCCCACGACGGGGTGAGCTCCTGTTGCTCGGTCCCTGCTCCTGCCAACCTAGCAGTTCGAAAGCATGTCAAAGTGCAAGTAGATAAATAGGTACCGCTCTGGCGGGAAGGTAAACGGTGTTTCCTTGTGCTGCTCTGGTTTGCCAGAAGCGGCTTAGTCATGCTGGCCACATGACCGGGAAGCTGTACGCCGGCTCCCTCGGCCAATAAAGCGAGATGAGCGCCGCAACCCCAGAGTCGGCCACAACTGGACCTAATGGTCAGGGGTCCCTTTACCTTTACCTTTATGGTGCAATAGAGCATTGAACTAGAACCTGGAAAACCAAGGTTGAAATTCCCACTCAGCCATGAAGCTTACTGGATGAAGAAAACGGGAGGAAAAAAGTTTAAAACAGAAACCATCAACATTATAGTAAATAATTATTTGTCCTTTGAAACTGCCACCACGGCTGACATTATCTGCAGGGAGAAGAAACAATGCAATTATAATTTTGTAATGTCACAGTGGAATGACTGAACAAGCAAATATCCCTCTTTCAAGCTGTTCTGTATTCTGTAAAGAAGTAAACCCCTGCCCTGTCCTTGGATTTGAGTTGTACATACATACCTATAGTTTACAGGGATGGTGATTTCATCAAACTGTAGTTTGTTTTACAGAACAGTCTTGACCCCCAGATTTGCAGGCTGAAGGGGGTTAGGATGAGAACATTGTCCGGGAGGGAAGTTTCAAGAAAAAATGCCCCCCCCTTCTGTAATCTTTTTACTTTGTCCACCAGCCCTTTACATCTCTATAACTTCAAGATCTAAGGTTGCTTCAGAATAGTGTGTGTGTGTGTGTTTGTGTGGACATTGGTTATCATGCTGACTGGATAATGGCTTTTTCAAGAGAAACATATTTGGGCAGATCTTAAACTGCATGATTATCTGCAACTGTCCAATTAAAGCCTTTTTCCTCCTTAGAAGGCTGATTAATCTCACTGACCTCAGCCATCTCTTTCTAATTAGGAAGCTAGAAGAAGGCTAAAGCTACTGTAAAAGTTTCATGTGATCCTGTTGAATTGACAGCATGGCTTCCCAATAAGAATGGCTAATAATGGAATTTGTAACAGTGTTTACAATAAAGCTGTTCTCCTTAGGAAAACCACAGAAGGAAAGTATGCTTGATTCATCTAAATAAAACGCTTTGAAAGGTTTTATTGGTTGCAAAAGGATGGAAAAAGAATGGGATGGAATTCTTTGTTTTTGGATAGCTTTCTATTGCTAAATGTAGAAAAGTGTGTCATGTATGGAAATGTGTGATTATGGCTAGAGATAGGGGTGACAAGTTATATTTGGGCCGAATCAGGCCACAACTTTATTGACAAGAGATGTAAGAGGAAATCACAGCTTTGCTAAAGCTACCACCCCCACCCCCATGAACAGCAGGAGGGGGGGATGCGCATCCCTAAGGGCAGATATTATTGGCATATAATTGATCACATTAATCTCCACTCTTACAGTCCGTGCATATTTATTTTATTGGGGATTTCAGCTCCCCCCTCTCCTTT